CCCAGAAACATCTCAGTGCTTATTAAAATATGTATGGCCAAGTACAGTTTACAAACTGGCAATAAGCAGGCTGGATCCAGATGAAAAATCTGCTGAGTTTAAGCTACCCAATTTGTGTGTGTGTGTGTGGGGGGTAGATTAGTCAGTAATAGTTAAAATCCAGGGTACAGTGACTTAGTGAGATCTTGTCTCAAAATTAAAAAAATAAAAAAGGGCTGAGAATGTAGTTCAATGAGAAGGTCTTGGCCTCAGTCCCTAATACTGAAAAACAGCCTCAACAACAAAGACAAAATAAACAAAACCTCAGAAGAGGTTACTTCATCACCTGGGCTTCCGCTTCTGTTGAGAAGTTGGAAAACTCTGCCAATGGGGAGAAAATTCTGCCAATGTTTTATCTGCATTGCAATGGTCAGTTGGAGTTGATTCCTCAATGGTCCTGTGGACCTCACAATTCCTTACTGTGTCCTCAAAACAAAGGCTGAATGTTAAATTTGTTGTTATTGCTGTATTTACACTCCTGTTTCTATGACACCACCCCTTTTTATTCATTCACATTAATTTTATCGCCTGCTTGGCTATTCTCTCTGCTGAAGGTCCAGTTGGATTGGAGAGGCCCCAGCACAGTTCTGTTTCTTCTATGACTTGCGCTGCTAGAGCTAGGTCAAGGGCAGGAGCCCCCTTGACCTTTCAGTCCTGACTTAATGCTCAAGACTACCAAAGGCTGTCTTTGACTGTCAGAGATGATGCCAGTGACCATCAGAGCTGATGAGGTTTGACATCTGACAGACATCTGATAGGTGGGCATATCTGTCACTGGATCCCTCTCTTTCTTCTGCTTGTTTTCTTTGATAGTCCCATCAAGATAATTCAGATTAAATAATTTTCTTCCATTTTATGTTAAACTAACTTGGTCACTCCTTCAAGCTAGAACTTTTTATATGAGGGTTAAGGGAACTAAGTCTCAAGTCACCATACAGAACAGCACCACTGAAGATCAAACCACTTTCCACAACCAGCGAAGACTTATCAATGTAGCAGTAGTAAGTTTTACACTTGGCATTTGGGTGAGGAACAAAGAAAGTTTGGAGGCATTTCAAAATAATGAAAGAGGCAGGCTTTTGAAATGCAAAGATATAAATCCCTTCCAAGCAAGCAAATTATACAGTGGTACATAAGAAGAAAGGTGGAGGGAAGGACTGAGGGTAGCGGGAGAGTGAAAGGAATTGTTCAATGGATGCAGAAAGATTCAGAAAGATGACTGTCAGATCCCTTATTCCTTGGATAAAGCCCTCTCTCTGCTTATCAGAAATGAGAAGAAAAGCAGGCTGGCTTTATTCCTTTGGCAAAGAGTCACCAAAGTTGCAGAGAGAGGGGTTAATAGTTGATAATGGCTCACTCTTATTTAGCAACTATCCCATCGGTCGTTGTGTAAAAGGCCCTTGCGGGATACCGGAACATGTGGTTTTGACAGGATCCACAGTGATAAGAGAGAGGAACACAGAGGAAAAGGGGGCTGTTGTATTATTTACAGCTGGGGAACTTGAACAGAGCCCCACCGCAGGGGTTGGCCCAAGGACTTGCTCCTCTAGGGCTGTGGAATAAAAACAGACATCTTTGCATTACTGCTGCTCACTGTTTTTGCTGCTGGGGAACCCTGCCAGGGCCAGGCCAGCATGCGTGCATCTCATCTCCTCTCTGTGCTGCCATCTGGCTGGCCACTGCTACCTTTCCCTATAGCCTAGAAGTGGTAAAGACATGCACAGAAAACTGCCTGAGCCTCTGCGCATAAAATTTCATTAGGGTGTCCGGGGTCATCTCACTTGTTGTGACAGTTCCTATGAATGTGCAGATGGCAAGGTACACACATAGCTACACCAGTGTGCACACACGTATCTATCAGTGAAGTCACATGGTGGGCAGAGAGGAGGGACTTGGAAATCAGATCCAAAAGGAACAAAGGCTGCAGCCTCTGCAGTGAGCTGAGCGAGAGTGACGGGACAGCCAAAGGAAATGAGAGACAAAGTGCGAAAACCCACAGCAAATGCCGCTGGAGAGCATATGCATTGGACTTCACAGCTTCCTCCTGTTTCCAGCTTACATTTGTTCCATATGCTGCTTTACACAGCTTTCTGGGGCCATAATGGGTTTTATTCCATAGTTTTTATACTAACATGAATGACTCACATCTGCTCCAGTACCCAATTTGCTCTCTAATGTCTTCGGCTGTGAGGAGAGAATGGCTTCCACAGAACTCCATGACAGGAGTGGTGTGCACAGCCCTAACCCAGGGACAAGCAAGGTGAGACCCCTGGGTGTGTGAGCCGGGAGGGCTTTTGTGATAATATGACAGCACAGACAGGGAAACTGAGACGCAGAGAGAGGAGGAATTTGCTCAAGAATATCACGATAGGGGGGCTGGGGATTTAGCTCAGCGGCAAAGCGCCTGCCTGGCAAGCGCAAGGTCGTGAGTTCGGTTCCCGGTACCGGAGAAAAACCAAAACCAAAAAAAAAAAAAAAAAAAAAAGAATATCACGATAGGGAGGGAGATCCAATTTAGGGCTCCAGGATAGTCCTCATTCAGAGCACATTTATTTTTCTCATTTCCTGTCATGTTAGATTTTTTTGCTAGCAGCTCTTCCTCCCCGTATTGGCGATGATGAGAAAAAAGTAACTCGGACTAATCACCAGTGATAGTTAATCCTCCACTAGGATCACCTATGCTCTGTGTTATTTAAGCTTATTATTAGTTTTCCATTTCTTCCTGAGCATGAGGGACCCCCGGACAGACCAGGGTCTGGGAGAGAGCTACCGGACTGGGCCCTACATTGCAGACTTAGTTGACTTCAGACGTTGGAAGATCCATCTGAAATCTCATGACAACTGATTTGACAACCCAGACTACTATGCTCTTCGCTTGGCTCAGGTAATGACACTTAACCAAATTAGATTCTCCTGACAGCTTCCATCGGCCCAAGGAATCTCACCACGTGAGTGGAGGACAGAATGATAATTCAGGAAGCAAGCACCAAATCTCTGCTGTCCTGAGTATCACAGGCCCTTATGGAGCAGCCACATTCCAGGGCCTTGGTTTCCCCATATGCCAAACACTCGGAATGAGATGCCGCGGCTGCAGGCAGTATGGGGCTACAGCATCTCGAAAGCCTGGCGGTGGTGTTGTGTAACTGTCTGCCATCTGTTAGTCAGAAGCAGCATCACAAAGCGCTGAGCAATGGACTCTGGTGCTGCAGCTCCCGCCTGGAGCTGACAGCAGCTCAGCAGCTCGCCTGGGGGTCCCCTGCAGAGCCTGCCGCATCCAGGCCTGAAGTCCAGGTTGAGGTTCCTGGAAGAGATCCAGGGAACTGGAGATGCTGCTGGGATGGGTGCCCTTGCTACTCCTCTACCCCTGTCATGACAATCTTTGTCTGGCCAAAGCCACCCAACCTTTCAGTGGGTGGAGTTCTAAGAAAGGCAAGAGCTAAGCCACAGCCCAGGGCTCACGGTGGTGGTGGTCTGTGAACTCAGCTGCATCTCAAGATGGGCTGGCCAGAGTGCTAAGTTTCCCCCCAGCTGCTTGATTTCCATTGCTGTTCTGACCATAAACTTCTTTGTTTTGCTTTTATTTATTTATTTATTTTTGGGAACTGGGAATCAAACTCAGGACCTCGCACTTGCCAGACAGGTTCTGTGCTGCTGAGCTATATCCCCAGCCTCTGACCATAAACTTCCTGTCCACAGCCCAGTCAAGGACCCTTTGGGGATGTGAGGTCAGATGGCTGGAGGGCAATGTACCCAACACCAGAGGCTTTGCATAGGCTCCTCTCTTTCTGAGCACATTGTCTTGGGGGCTTCATCTTCTTGGAGATGGAATTCTGGAGCTCTTCTTTACACCTCTCTAACCTCAGTCAGGTGCGGGAGCTTCCCCTACTACACTGAGTTTGGTGGGGACAGTGGCAGGGAGGATGATGGCTACAGTAGCTGGTGCCTTGTTCTCACTTCCTTAAGAAACTTGAGGCAATAATGCCTTCCAATAAAATGACACATTTCCAGCAGCCGCTGCTCCCCAGGTGGAGCAAGGTTTCCCTTCCCCTTTTCCAGCTCTCAGGTAACACCGGCACTTTGCCTTCAGGTTTCACAGCTATGCACTCAACTGTCAGAGGAGGAACTGTTTTCTCCATTTTACAGACGAGGAATTTAAGGCTCAGGGAAGGTAAGGGACTTAGCTATGATTCACACAGCTGGTGTGACTGGGCTAGGTCAACAATTGCTAGTCAGGTTATGTCGCCTTATTCTAGTCAAGCGAAGGCCTAAGGGGAATGAGATTTAGAAGCCCCACTGGTCTTAATCTGCAACTGAAAGGAGGATGTACTTCCTGAAGGTAGCAGGGAGAAGGGCTTTGGAAAGACAACTCTGTATCCCCCTAGCCAGGGCCACTTTCCCCTGTGGTTAGCCCAGTAGCCCAACTTTGGGGCCCCTTCCCTGGCAAGCGCAAAGCCCAGGTTGCGTACAGGGAAAGAAAAACCTTCAGGGAGATAATTGTACCTTAAATTTTAAAAGGACATCTTTAAAGTTAAATTTAGAGTAGCTCAGCTTTTCATCGACGCAGAAAAAGTTGCCAGACACCTGCACGCAGGCATAGCAATAGCCTGGGGACGTGGCTGAACTCGACCTTGGCCCCGAATGGCCAGGCTGGTGGCCCCGGGTTGGAGCAGCACCTCCGGCCACGCCAAGCCCGGGGCGGCTCTCAGCCCGCGGAGCCGGGTGTGCGCGCCACGTGCAGCCCCCTGCAGCAAGCGAGCGCTCCTCCCAGGGACTGCCCCTCCCGGCGCCGGCCTCTCTCCGGTCCCAGCCTGCGGCTGGGGTGGCGGGCATCTGAGGCACCATTCCCCCCCCGCCCCGCCCCGCCCCGCCCCGCCTCAATCCAGGGGGGCCCCGGAGCTGCGCCCCGGGCTCCGAGCCGCGGCCGCTCAGCAGCACCGAGCGCCGCGGGCGGCGGGCGGAGGTAGCACCCCCTCCCAGAGCCCCGCGCGCTCCCGCCCGGCCCCTTCAGAGTCTGTGTGTCTGTCGGCCCGCCCTCCCTCCTCGCTCTCCTCTGCCTCCTTCCCTCCCTCCCCCTCGTGCTCCTCTGGGGGTGCCGGTTACAGCCTGCCGTTCCGCCCTCCCGCCGTTCGAGTCAGTTTCCCTCTCGGCCGCGGCTGGCAGGCGAAGGCGGCGGCGGCGGCGGCGCGGGGAGCATCCCGAGGCCACCGCGCTTCTCCGGCTGGAGCGGGCGCGCAGCTCGGCTGCCCCTCGGCCCTTCCCTGCCGCGTCTCGTGCGCCCGAGCGCCCGGCTCGCTTCTCTCCGAAGCGGACGGAGCGCCTTGCAGGGTCCCGCCGCCCTGGCCCGGATCCTCGGGCTGGCGCTCTCCAGAGAGCGGCGCTGTCCGCGTCTGCCGCCCCGCCGCCCCTGGCCACCGGGGGGTGCCCCAGGGACTTAGCGCCGCGCAGAAGAGGCAAAGGGGACCATGCGGCGCCTGACTCGCCGCCTGGCACTGCCAATCTTCGGGGTGCTGTGGATCACCGTGCTGCTGTTCTTCTGGGTAACCAAATGGAAGTTGGAGGTGCCGCCGGGACCTGAAGTGCAGACCCCCAAGGTACGCGGTTTGGCTGTGCGCCCGGCGCGGGCAGTGCTTTGCTGGAGGGTGCGTGTCTCGCGCGCTGGCTCGCGGGCTCCCGGGAAGCCAGGTTGGGGGTCTGGGTGCTGTGACCAGGTAGCAGGCGCCCCATGAGGTCACCTGAGCTGTTTCTCCGGACCCGCGGTGTGTCAAAGTGGCAGTGGGTGTGGGTGGTGGGCCCGCGCGCTCACGGGCAGAGCGGGGCTCCCAACTTGAGCGGCGCGCAGGGGTCCCATGGCTGAGGGGCGCTGCGGAGAAGCTACCCTGGGCTGGCGGTCGGAGGGCGCCGCCAGAGGGTCACTGGCTGGCCGGGCGGTTGTTTTGAGCGGTTTCCCGCAGCCGCCAGGCCAGCGCAGGAGAGGCTGGAGGCCGGGGTTTGCGCGCGTGAGCGTCGCGGGCGAGCGTCCTGCAGCCCCCTGGCGTGCTGCCCCTGCCCACCCGGCCTGTTGCCACCGACTCTGCAACTGTTCTCCAGCCCCTCAGCTACACGGGAAGTTGAATGTGCCCGGAACACCGCTACAGAGCCTGTAAGAGCAGATGCCTTGGTTTTGGTGAGGAGTTGGGGAAAGAGGAATCCAACTGGCTTTTCCAACTCCTGCCCAGTCAGTGTCTCCGAGCGGAGCCGGAAGGTTCTCCTCCAGGCTTACTCTTACCTTCAGATTCAGGGCCCAGTTTTCTGTCTTTTCCACAGACTTCGCCATGGGGCACAGAAGGGAAGTCTCTGAGGGGTTGCTGGCAGCCAGGCAACGTGAATAAACTGGGTCCGGAGCAGCCCTCCAAGAACTGGGGAAAAAAAGGCCCTGGAGGAGCTTATGGTCTGAAACATGCAGGAGAGAGAAGTAGTTGTGTGTGTGGGAGGGAGTCTGGTAAGTACTGTAGGAGGGCCTACTATGTGCCAGGGCCTACAGTGCTTTCTTCATTAGTGGTTGTGTGAGTTGGGTAGTGTTACCCTTATTTCGTAGGTTAGGAAGCAGGTTGAAAGTCTTTTAAGTTACTTGCTTTTTAGGTCACTCTGCTGGTCTGAGCCCAGACCTCCACTCTCAGGATTGTCTCCCCAGTTGCCTCATAAGTTACCCCTTAGACTAAGTCCTCTGGCACTCGTGTTTTGGAATCTTGTCAATGTTTGGCTGATTTCATCAAACATTTATCCAGCTGTGTGCCACACAGTGTGCTAGGTGCTATGGAACCTGCTCCCTGGAGGTGGGGATTGGCTCCTCAGTCGTGCAGGGTGCAGGGCCCACATGGTTCCTAGCACTGGGTGTTATGGGAGCCCTGGGGCTACATCTAGGAAGAGGAATTGAGTTGAGAAGGATGGCCAGGTTTGCCAGTAGATAGGAGGGCATCCCAGGTGTGACGCGGAGGAATGACACAGCATGTTGTGTGAGTCTGGCATAATTGGAGTGCAAAGCATGCAAGACCTCAGGGATGAGCCTGGGGGCCTGTGTAAGGCTGAGCTGAGTGAGGGATTGGGACGTTAAGGACCACAGAAGGGGTGTTAAGCAAGAAAGTGACAAGGTCAGATTGGTGACTTCAAACAGCCTTTGTAGCAGTGGATTCATTTTTCTCACCTCAGACCTTGCTCAGGGATCTAGAATGTTTTCTTCCTTCTCCCTAGGTGGTTCTGCTTCTTGTGAAGCAGTTAAGGATGCCTGCAGGGACATGAACTTTCCAGTTTTGCCTTGAACCTCATTACCTTAAGCTTACTTATTCTTAGTTTGCCCTGGGGATCTGGGACAAGAGCTGTGTTTACTGGGTGTGCTTTGTCCTTCTGCTTTTCTTGTCTCTTCTCAGCCTGGGGAGCACTCAAGCACCGGGCTCAGTGCTGAGTTTAGAGGCTGTTACGATGGACCCTTGCTTTTGGGGTGCTTCCTGTAAGTTCTGAAACAGAATTATGAACAAATGAGCAGTCTCATATCAAGAGTCCATTGTGGTACTGTGCAGTCGCAGAAGATCACGTGCTGTTTGTTTGAACATCTTATCCTACCCTCTCTATTTTGTGTATCTTTTTTAGAACAGTGACTTCTAGTCACTCTTAAAACCTTGATACCTTTAATTATTAGGTGGGCTTCTTTTTTTGTTGTTGGTGTTTTTCTCTCTTCTGTTTTTCCACCTGTATATGTGGCTTTGTGCATCCTTGTATATGCTGTGTACACTCATGGGTGTATTTTGTCTGGTGAGTGAGCATCCCTCTGTATCTTAGTGTATGTATATCTGAAGAGAGATAAAGAGAAATCCCTTCTTAGCACCGGAACTCTTCTATTTCCCTGGCCTGGTATATGCAGGAACTTTACATGCCATTTTCAAAGGAGTATAATGGTCCCCAAACCTGACTGTATGTCAGAATCCCTCAAGAGCCTGATAACAGATTCTTGAGTATATTGCAGAGAATGTGATTCTCTGGGTCCTATAATTAGTATTTTTGCAATGCCCCATGTGATTCTGAAGCAGCCTATCGAAAAATACGAGGTCTGTTGATGTTTTGTAAGATGGTTGGCAGCATATAAAAATGACTGGATGATTTTATTCTTTTGTGTGCTGATGGACCTAAGCTTGGGTGAGCATATGCACTCAAGCTAAATAACAGCTGCTAGCACTTGTACACTGCTTTGCAAATTCACAAGCTATGTTTCATGTATATTAGCTCATTTAATCTTCACAACAACCACACTAGAGTGATAATACTTTTATGCAGATACAGTGAAGTGATTAACATTTGGCCCAAGATAACAAGTCTCTGCTAGTGGTAGTGTCGGGACAAGAATGAAATGGGATGTTCTAGCAACTGCCCATCCTGTCCTTCTTCTGTGCCTGGGTCTCCTGTATGTGGGTGTGGGTGGCATAGTGAGGTTGGAGCATGAGCTCTCCACCAACTTTCCAGAGTTTGCTCACTCTTGGAGGGTTGCCAGGGGATTGGTGTAATTGTAGAAGTGCTGGGATGGGAACCACCTCAGATGCACTTGGAGAAGTTCATAAGGAGCTCAGAAGGCTCCTCTGGCTGGACAGAGGATGTCTGGTGGGGAGGATTCTCCTAATGGGTTGTTGTATCCAGTGGTTGCAGCAGCACTGGTTCAGGAATCATTTGCCAGTGCAGAGACTGTTTCCTTCCCAGGAGGGATTCAGATGGGACACATGTCAATCATGGGGAACAACTGGGAGTTTGGAGTGAGTTCAGTACACTAGGTATCTCTCAGAAATGCTCATGCATAATCACAGGGAAGGCTCTTTCCTGGACACACTGAAGTCTTGGGGAAATTTTTATCCTGGTTTCTTCCCAGTGTAGGGGTAGAAAAGGGGGCGGATCCCATGGCTGGCACCCATATAACAGGAGACAGATGAACTAGAGAAAAGCAAAACAAATTCATTTCCTCATAGTTTTATATGACACAGGACCTTCAGAATGAAGACCCAAAAACTCGGGTGAACTATTCATTTATATGTTTAGATTTGACAGATGCTGGATAGCTGTGTAGAACCATGACTGGACCAAGACAGTCTAATCTAAGACTGATAGACCTGGCCTCTCTGTGCAGCATTTTTCCAAGTTATGGGCAGGACTCTTTCTGGAATTCATGTCTTGAGATCTATTATAAGATAAGATAGGTCAGAGAATTTCTTTATGGTCAGCTCTAAGACACAAGAGCAGAGAAAGATTGGCATATTTTTAGGTTTTCTGACTTACTTTGGGGAAACACATTCTAGTTTCTATGACTCACTTTGGGGGAGAGAAATTCTAATTTCTTGATTAAAGGCTGAACAAGGGAAGAAGAGACAAGAGGACAGGAAAAGTTCAAAAAGAGACTGTGTTTCTGAGTCCTTTCCTTTGGATGTTGTTTTCTGAGCCCAAGCCCAGCATGGTGGAGATGGTCAGCTTAGTCTCCAGAGCAAGAACAATGCATTCTCTGTCCTTTAGAATCTTCAGCAAAGTTGGGAATGGTATTCAGAGGTGAGAAGGCTGGGAAGGGCCCAATTCTTAAATTCTGTCGGGTACACTGCCTCTGCAGGGGCCCGGGTCAGGTCTGTTTCTAAAATTTCAGCCCCTTGTCCTCCTTTCTTCACTGCCCTAGGAAGGGTCCCCATTTACCTAGAGATGGCATCTCCAGAGTAGGCACAATACAACCTGTGCCCCATTGATCACAGTGTAAGTGGTGTGGAAAAGGCATGCCGTACTCCTGTTTTAAGAAAATTAATTGGATTTTTTTTTCAGTTTCAAGGATGAATTCTATTATTAGCTCAAGTAAAGATTTCTTTAAATTTGACTTTTTAATGTTGATTCGATTTTAATACTGGTTCCCTGTCCCCAAATTATTCAGCAAAGCTCTAACTTCTAATTGAAAATCATGTAACAAGTTTGATGTTTTAATTCAAATTGCATTTTAATGATAAATACTATATCACTGAAAAGGACCTCAAAAAGGTTTTCATTTCTTTTCTCTTCTGCCGTTTGTTTGCCATTGGAGAATTATACAATAACTGACAGAAATTTTTAAAAGGAGTAAATTTGCCTTTTATTTCCAAGAAACTAAATTTAGTCCAGGGGCTTAGAGCTTAGTAAAAGCAAAAGAAGTTTAGGCCTGAGGGTAATTTCTGAGGAAGGTATTAGAAATTTAAAGTCTTTGAATAAAGTGCCGCAGGCCCATGTAAATGTGTTGGTTTTGTACTAGAAATACAGCAAATACTATTAGAAGATAGCTTGTCTTTTGGTAGCATTTGCATACCACCAATGCCTTAAGTATATGGCACTGTTGTTTTATTCACCATTTAGTAGATAATTTCTCCCATTAAAAAAAGTTATGCGTTTTAGAGGGAGACCTTGTTAATCTACCGATGTTCAGTGCATGCACCTTGGACTCTGTCCAGGGAACTTTGACTCCGGCGTGACCAGTGGCAGCGTATTGTCAGGCGCGTGTTTGCCCTTTCTTCTGGTTTCCCTTCTAAGGCAGGTCCCTGGAGGAGCTGTCATGAATGCTGTTACCTGGTGG